CTTTTGGGAGTGGCTGCGGCCGCTTCTGGGAGCAAGCGCTGGCCGATCACTGCACAGCCACTCCCGAAAGTGGCTGCAGCGAGTGCAGTGATTGGCCAGTGCTTTCAGGAGGGGCACTGGTGCTCCCGCCTGCCCCGTTGCCCATTGCCTAAGCAGTGAGTGCGGCTGTCAGGGGGTGCACCAGCACTCTCAGGGGGTGCATGTGCACCCCCTACACATTGCCACTGACCCTCATAGTGATAAAGTTCTTCCTAATCATCTGCTGCCATTTGAGGCCATTGCTCCTAGTCCTGTCCCCGACACCCACCGTCTCCATCTTGTAATCTCTTTTCAGGTATTTGTAGACTTTTATCAAAACCTCCCTTCAGTTTTCTTCTCTGGATATGTAATTCTAAAGTCCTGGTTCTTTCAGACTTTCCTCATAAGTCATGTTTCCTATGCCCTTTTTTTCCTCTCCCCTGGACTCTTTCCAATCAGTCCACATCTTTCTTGAAGTGTAGGACCCAAAACGGGACACAGTATTCCAGGTGTGGCCTTACCACTGCCAAAAAGAGTAGAAGAATCGCTTCCCTTGATTTGCAAGAGAGACTCTTGTTAATACAAGCCAGTACGCTATTGGTGTTTTTTACAAGAGCAAACTGTTGGCTCATCTTCAGTTCATGGTCAACTGTACCTGCAGGTCCTTCTCTGTAATACTACAGCCTAGCCAATCATTCCCCAGTCTGTCTTTGTCTTTGTGCATGCAATTACTCCATCCCAAGTGCAGCATTTTGCATTTGTCCTTGTTGAATGTCATCTGATTTCAGATGATTTTCCCAGGTCATTCTGGATCCTAACCCTATTCCCCCACCCCAGTGTCAAAACACTGTTGCTGAACTTGAGTTCAAAGCTTTGAACTCAAGATCTTGTGGTAGAGGGACCAGCAAGCTTCCACTGTATCAGAGCCACAGACTTTATAAAGGTGTTGATATAGAGATGGACAAATGCACATGAAGGAATCTATACAGCTATATTTATAACATGAATGTTCTTTAATGTAAGAGGTATGTTTGTCTGTTTTGAGGTCTTTTAAAGAGCAAACAGGAAAGAGAACTTCCTCCCTGTATTGATGTATTACCACCACCGCACATTCAACAGGAATGCTGGCTCTAGAACATTTTGATTCATGCTAGAAGTTTCTGCCATTTGAACTAACAGAGTAACTGACAGGAGTAGTAGGTTTTTATTCCCCATTTGAACAAGCACTTGAGGGGTCGAAACACCAATATTTATTGACAAGAGAAAAAATGGGAGCAGCTGGGAATCATGGTTCCTGTTTGAGGTGCCGGGCAGGAGCTTTCTCTACTAGGCACAGACTTTTCTGCTTGTTCCCCTGTCCTGCTCTGTCTGTTTCCCCATCTAGCCAGGCCCAGGCTTCCACCCCTCAGGCTTCTCACTGCAAGCCAAGTGTCCTTCCCAGGAAATCCTAGTCTCATCCCCCTGCAGACTTCCCATATTAGTCCCAGTCTCCTTGTTTAGCTAGCCCCAGTTCTGTCCTCCTAACCCTGAGCATCCTCCCCTCTGCCTCTTTGCCCAGGCAGTCTCAGTTGCCCCATCCTTGTGTGTTATTCAGTCCTACCTTTCTCCCCAGCCCTGGCCTCTAGTCACCAGTCCCAGTCTCCCCCATGTCTCTTAATCTGATTTTAGTTCCACTCCCACATCACAGCTCCCAATCCACTCTCTCATTTTCCCCCTGGGTTCCAGTTGCTGCCTCTTTACCTAGTGAGCCCTTGCCTCCACACTGAGCCTAGCCCTAGCCTCTTCCTGCCCCAGCAGTTCCAGCCTTGCACACCACAACTCGCAGCCCAGATTTCATGTCCCTCAGGCCACCCCCCACCCAGTTCCAAGTCCTTTCTCCTTGTTACGCTTTTCTCCTCTTGTCCCCTTGCCAGCCCAGTGGTGGCATTAAACCTTGTGGCTACCCAAGCCACTGTTTCAACACAGCTGTGGAGCCCATGAAGTGAATGCTACTGCTGCTTGCCCCCACCTGCCTTTTCTCCTGCTGCTGATTTTAGTCACTTTGGGCTAAAAACCCTGATTTTGGCAACAGGTAAGGAGGAGAGGCAAGCATTGGATTAACAGCAGGATTAACATTGCTGCTGCAGGGAAAAAACCCCATGAGCCAGATGGCCCACTCCCATGGGCCATATGTTTGACACCCCTGGTTCACAGCAGAGCTTCTTCATTTTCAGATCAGGTGCCTAAAGCTGTTCAGCCCCAGCCCTACACCTGGACCAACCTGCAGCAGCTCAAAGCTGCAACTGAACAGCGAGTCCTAGTGGATAAGAGCTCTTCTGGTAGAATCTCAAAATTGCAGGTGCCCACGAGACCCTTTTCAGAACTTTTTTCTCTGTTTATTTTATGCCACTTCGTGAATAGGCCACAACTGAAAAAATTAAGAGTCCATTTGGGAAATTAGTATGGGGGTGCTGAACCCCCAGCCTGTGGGTGAGATCCAGCCCCAGGAGCCATGTTATCTTCCCTACAGGAATGGCCACGGATCTAAAAATTTGGCAGCCGGGGAACAGTAGCAGCATTAATTGTCACTCCCCTGTGCCAAATATGTGGGCCTATAGGGAACCCTGCAGGCAGATGCCATAGCTGTATGTGCTAGACCATGTGTGGCGCACAAACCCTGATCTGGTCATGTGGGATAAGGCAGCCTGAGGCAGGATCTGGGTATGCAGGGCCTGATCTGGGCAGCACAAAGCAGGATCTGCGCTTGTGGGGCCTGATCAGGGCAGCGCAAATTGGAATCTGTGCAGTGCAGACCCCAATCTGGATGGTGTGCAGAGGGATCCAGGTAGCACAAGGTGGGATTGGAACATGAGGGCAGATCCTATAGATCCAATCCACAGACCTGTTCTGTGCCACCAGTCCAGCCCATGGGGCCAACTAATTGAGCAGTAGAGGTCTAGTGCTTCTTGACACTTTGCATGGCTGGTTCTGAATCAGAGCAACTTATACTGCCTATGTATTTCAAATCAAAATCCTCATTCCTTATCATTCTTGATTACTTTTATCCCTTTATTTTGCAGGATTGAGACACTTTTCATTTGGACATCTTAAAAGCCTTACTGGGGAGAAAATACAGAAGTCATCCAGCCCAGACACTATAATGGAGAGCGAAGCTAGTGATACAGAAGACTTTGATCGAGATCTCGAACCATCAGCTTCCATGATAGTCCCAGAATCTAATGATCCTGAGCCTGGAGGCTTAATGTTTTATCACATGGATCTCTATGAAACAAGGGAAAGATTAGATATCTTTCCTGAAGAGCCATCTGGCAGAGCTCTGGGTGAAACTGGGGAGGAATCAGCAAGGATAGGTGAAGAGTTTCAAAGGCCAGTTGAAATGGGGTATGATGTGGAAAAAGAAGTTGAAGAACTAGCAAAGCTATATGGCCTTGATGAGGACAAAGGAATAGAGGGGGAGCTCCTTGTTGGGAGTATAGCTAAAGCTGGCATTATAAGGACCAAGGAGACACCTGTTAAAATGGAAGGTGTAGCAGCAGTGTCATCTGGTTCTGTGCATAATGCACCAAAAAGCCATTCTCCAATAAAAGGCTCTCAACCTAAAAAACAAAGCATGGAGGAACAAAGGCTTCTTGAGAAAGGTTCTCAGGATGAAAACCAACACTTACAACAAACAGGGAGAGCACGTGAGGAGCTGAACAGTTATGCATGCCCCAGAGAAGACCTAAAGACCTATGGATTGCAAAATGAGCCGACTCGTGAGCTAAACAGCAAGGAGGAAGCTGCTGATATTTATTGCTCCACCTGCAAGACCCCAATTAGAGCTTTCGACAAACTGTTTGGCAATCACAAGGATCATGAGGTGACTGAGCTCACCAATGCAGCAGACATTGCAAAGGTAAGAAGTATTTGAGTGGACATTCCCATTGTGCTAGATGTCTGTTTAACAGTAATCAAGTGTGTCAATAATAATGCTATCTTTGGCAGGAAGAAGTTCATAAAAACATGTGTAAGCTTGAAGAGCAGATTGCTCAGATGGAAAATGTTGCCAGCCATTTGGAAGAAATTTTCATCACTGTAGAGGTAAGGTGTTTATTCTTTGGTTAAATCTGCAGTGTGGTACCAGCTGGGTTCATTGCTGTTTTGACAAGAGTGAAATGTTCAGCTTTTAATAGGATGAGTAATAACAGTAATAGAACTCCTAATTAACTTGGGGCTTGCCGACATGGGGACATTCAGAAATATTAATCTGAATTAACATTTAGAGTAATTTACTTGAACCACATTCAGCCACTGTATAGACACTCTTATTCAGCATTAAAGTGACCTTTCTTCACTTTATCTTAATTTACTCTGGAAACAAAGTCAGTTAAATTGAATTAAGGCCCCTTTGATTCTGAATGAAAGTGTCCATAAGGGAGTTTCATGTGGTTTAGCAGATTTACTCTAAATTTACACCTTCAGTTAGGGTAGATTAACTCCCATGATCTCTGTCATGTAACTGAGCCCTTGATGCAATGCAGCATACAAAGGGCTAGAGTCTACCTGTGTTTATGTCAGTTTATCCCAGGGTGTCAGGCCCCTGTGGGTAGAAAATCTGCTTGGAGGAAGCCTGTAGTAGCATCATCCAGAGAGAGATGTTCGTTAGCCTAAAGTCAAATAGAAGGCAGGTTATAGCACCATGTAGCCAGCCTCTTCCCTCCTGCTGGGGGTGGCTGGAACCAGGCAGCACCGTCCGAGGACTGGGAGGCAGTTGGTGAGGAAGCCCTGCCTTCCGCTTTTATCTGCCCTCCCAGTGTCTCTCCTGGCAGACAGCAGAGGTGTAAGCATTAGCTGCTCAGCCTGTCTGCCCTAGAGTGAAACCAGGGATCCCCAAGTGGCTGCTATGATTCTCCTGGTACCCGGATGTGCTTTTTGTAGGCGGAAACACCTGATTATTATGTACTTCTTTGTGTTCCTGGCTTTAGGTTAGTTTTGCTTCATTATGTTCAGAATGAACATGTACCCCACAGTGTCTTGTGGTGGGTGAGAGAGATTAATAGAAAGATCTGCTAATTATTTCTAATGTAATGATAATCTCGCAGCGTCTAAGGACTACAGGTGTGTCTACATGAGACACTACTGTACAGTAACAATGAGCTCATTGCTATTGCGCAGTAGTGTTGCCAGGGACTAACGGCACAGTGATTCATAGATTGTAATAGATTCATAGATTGTAAGGGGCTGGAAGGGACCTCGCAAGATCATTGGGTCCTGATGATACTGCGCAGTAGTAATGAGCTAGCATGCAGAGTGTTGCCAGGCACTAACTGTGCGGTGATGATACTGCGCAGTAGTAATGAGCTACTGCGCAGAGTGTTGCCAGGCACTAACTGTGCAGCGATGCTACTGCACAGTAGCTCATTGCTAATGCACAGTAGTGTCAGAAAAAAATGTGTGGTAATGGTACTGAGTGCTAACACTGGTCATTTAGTACTTGCTTATGCATAGTGCGCTGCTCATGTAGACAGGCTGTATGTATGTAATGGCATTGTCTCCTTGTTAACCATTTAGTCATAAACCTCAGGAGG